GGATACAAGAATGGCAACCCACCCTCAATTGGCCATACATTCAACGACACCTCAAACTCAAGGCCTCCGGCTGGCAATTCGCAAAACATCGCACCACTTTCACACGCATGTCCACCCACAAACGTCTTTTTCAAAGGCTTCGACGACGACAAAACACCATCAAGCAGCCCCACCTCCACACAAGTCAACGCTTACACGCATTGACAGTCCTACGTGAGCTCAGCAAACATACACATTCATCTTTTGAAACTTCAACAGCCATCCGCAGCGGCAAATACACTGATCTCGAAATCTATGCCTTCCGTCGCGTGTCCGCCAGCTTAGAAGAACCCGATCGATCACGAGTCCTTCACCTTATACACTCAGCACTCAGCTTCCGCAATCTCACTCCACCAAAAGCCAACAAGCCCTTCACCATTCCTTTCCTCTCCCACAGTACTTTCTTTTCCTCCACGGAAAAATGGCTTCGCACATTGATCCAACACCACATGCACCACGTCATACCATTCCATCCACCCACCACCAAACTGCGCGAAGCAGCGCGCAAGACATTACGATCAAGGTTGTATAATCACAAACGTTGGGAGGAACTCTTCTCAGCACAACCCTCAGCGGCCGACATGCCATGCAGCTGCCACCACATGCACTCCCTTCTCCGACCCAACCACACACCGCCGCTCTACGATGGCCATTATGTGCTCACACTCGATGACCTACAGCTACCCAGCCATCTTCAGATCTTTTTACAAGCCAACATGAACAGCACCTTCTTTCCCACGAAGACAATATTTTCAACACTTCCAACAACAACTCACTCAATGGCTACGACACCATGGTCTACCTACCGCCCTTCACCAACACAGCCTACCTTTTCTACACCAACAATGGAAACAACACATTGCCCACATCCTACACACACCACGATTCACATCACGCAATGTCACCCAATTACAGCAGTTCCTCACGGACAAGCTGGTGTTACATCACGCCGACCACGAACTACAAAATCTACGGCTTTTCTGCCCACAACACTATTTCCACGGATGTCTCACTACTTGGAACACACCACAACTTTTTCTACCACTACCAGACCTCACTGCCCAACAACTCCACCAACTGCTCACTCAATCTTTCCCCGCCAACATACGACGAGCCTGCCCATGGGGATTCCGCAAACAATTCTACACACCACATGGAGTAGTCTTCCTCAAACAAAAGAAGTCATGGCGAAAAGGAAGAACAGTCATCAGCTATTTCAAATCTATAGCTGGCACACTGTTGCGAGCCACCTCCAAGGCCTTGGACATTATGCTTCTTCATCTTCTACCTCAACATCCAGGCCAACTTTCCATCCCCAACCTATGGCAACACCTCCACAACCACTTCCAGACAACACCTGACGACATTCACCTCACACCGATCAATGATGACCTTGTCGGCTTCTTCAACAGTGTACCTCAACAACGTCTCGTCGACGCAGTCATCAGCCTATGCAATCGCTGGAAAGCCCAACACGCAACCACCACCATCACCATTGACGTCCAATCCACCGGCAATCCCATTCAACATTCCCACATAGGTCGACACTACATTCACCACCCACAACAACGCACACTCGACACTCAGCACATCCCCCTGATTGTACAACAAGACCTTCAATTATGCATTTTTCAAGCCTGCAACACCTACTACAAACAAATCCAAGGAGCAGGCATTGGCAGTCAGCTTTCACCAGCACTCTGCAACGTTGCAATCACGCTCATCGAACACACCTGGCAAACCACATACCACACCTTTTTGCACCAACCCAGCCTTCACCTGCTCAACACACGCTACGTTGACAACCGCTATATCCTGCTCAACGAACAATACAGATCAGCACTCCCCATCACTACACTGGCCCATCCCGATTTTTATGAACACCCAGTCGAAATAGAGCCAGTGGACGACGACCGTCTACTCGGTTTCCTGATCGATCCCCTCAACAGAACCGTCACCTTTCAACTCCCCACACATCCCTGGCAGATTCGTGATCTGCAGTCAGCAGGAGTCACAGACTACGCCTTTCAGGCTTACAGTCACGCCACCACACTTTACGAAAATACACATTTCCACAACACCTCGCACCTACCACAGCACAGCAGTTGATGCAGCTCTATCTGACCAAAGGTCACTCCAAAGAACACTGCGCCGCGGCGCTGCGGCCACGAGGAAAAAGACCATGCGCCGGCAGACTCGCAGTCCTTCACTTCACTTCACATTTTCCAATTTACCAGTTCCTTTTCGACGACCTGCCCTACCACTATTTATTACACAGGTATTTTCTGATCCGGTTTAGTTGCGCCGATTCGGCTCTTTGTGTGTGTCCACTCCTGTTTCCAAGGACACTACCCTAGCTCTTTCTAACCTACCCTACGACGTTTGTGACCAATGTACAGCAGCAGGGGGCACGGCGGCCGTTCACCTAGCCGTGCTAACAAAGCTATGGTGTTCGGTTGGAAGAGATACTGGACGCAGTATCTTGCACCTGCAATTTTAATTCTCACTCATTGATGCTTCCAAGTCAGTTCAACGCTGTCTCATACGTTGTTTTGCAGTAAAGTGCTAATGCATTCGGCTAATGCAGTAACTACCCTTAAAGTGCTAATGCACACCGCGAAGCAGCCTGAAATCGCGCTCCACGGAGCAACCTTCTCAAGTGTGTGTGGTGTTCTTGTTCAAACGAAGGAAACAAATCGATAGCCGATAGCATCGAATATAGAGAAAAGATGTTCAAACAATCATAAAGATGCGTTCAAATCCAGAGATGATCACACACATAATGTGTTAACACCATGCACAGAGTGTTGTTCAATCCAACATCCACTGATGATGAGTGCAGGGAGGGAAGACAAACTTACACTTCCAAGCAGACTCGAAAAAGACAGAAACATTTTCTGGCAGATGTTTCGGCCCCAAGACCTATATTGGAACCAAACCAATGGATCTCCACACAGGAAACCTACTATGCCTACAACACTTTGAATGACTTCTATCCATTCTTACAACAAACTTGATCTTCCCCATCCGGCGCCTTGTCATGGCACATGAATGCATCCCCATAGTCCACGAACACAAAGCTCGCCAAACCCAAGCAATCGGCAGCGATGAAACCCACCGGATTCGGTGCACTTCTGCAGAGTTTGTTCAACCTCGCATACTTGCGGACCCACACCCTCGGATCACTCAATGAAACCGGTGGAGCCGGAAAAACCGGCTGTTCGGATGCCGTTTTGGTGTCCAAAGAAGTTCGGACATTGGCCAAAGGCAGGTTCCTTTTCTTTAAAGGGACCTGTGTAGAGCTGCATTGCGTTTAGAGTGAATCAGGAAACACACAGAATTGGGTGGAAGTCGAAACATAAAAGCATAAGTCAAATAACTAAGCTACAGTATAACTAATGATAACACAATATAAGTATCTCCAAACACCATCAATATCAATCCATCAGCAAAGACATCGAATACGTGAAACGTCCTCCCCAAACAAGACCCCAACCTCGACCTCTCTTGGACCAGCTGACATCCACCATCATCCAGCCCCCTTCCGCACCTGACCAGCTCGGACTGCGGCGTCTCCGTCAAGACCATCAGCGAGACCTGCTGCACCAGCTGCTCGGTGATGGGACCTCGGTGGAGCTCCACGGCCACGTAGGGGTTCAACTCGGCCAGCTGGGCGCGGCACGCCTCCGCGCGGCTCCTCCCCACGTCCTTCGTGGGGTGTCTGAAAGGCGGTTGTGAAAAAGAAACCAGATAGCACAGCACAGGATCCCCATGATGCAGCAACATGAAGCAACTATCTACTTTCACACCCTCCAAGGCATGCCAATGCATGCTTTGACATTCTCTATATAAACCATCTGCTTTCTCACCGCAATCCTTCGACATACGGATCGAACGGATCGTCCTCTTGGGTGAGATAGAAGTTGGCCCCCAGGTCGCGGAGCTCCGCCGGCGCCTCGTCGTGTAAGATGACCTGCGCGGGCCCTGCGAGGATGAGGTTCTTCGCGACCTCCACGCCAAGGCCTCTGAGTCCAGAGATCAGGACCTCACCGGGAAGGCACAACGGGTCCGGATCTGGGTTCAGGATCTCTTTGAATCAGCCTTACTCAGCAGTTAACAGAACAAAAAGCACAACACACAGCTTTGAACAGCAAAAGCAAGGTAAAGAAAAAAACGGTATCCGTCTTTGGGGGCATGGTCATAACAAAACAAAAAAAGACTGTGCTGGCACTATGCAGTATGCTGGAAGTGGGAAAAAGTTCAAGTGGCCCAAAAGTGGAACCCGTCCACCCTGCCTTCATTTGCATTAGCTTCCCCATGGTTTCCATGCCATAAGTGCCAATCTGTCGGCTGTACAGATTCGTGTCGATCTTGGACATCTTGGCGGACTATGGCGACAGCGAATTCAAGGTCAGTCACTACGGACAGCACTTTCGGAGCGTTCTGTGATACTAGATATTGCCAGTGGGGCGTTCTGGTGAAATTTCGCTGGATCCACTGATCCACTCTCACATCGCGTCAACCCATCCTGCTTTCTGGGCAGAAGACAATGCACTAAGTCTGTCTTAAACCTTAGCTCAGGTTTGTCTGTTGCATGAATTAGTTATACTATGTAACGTTACTAGTTTCTGAAGATTCTGCGTGAGCCAACAGATTTTTCCAGAGATGGCCAGCGGGAGATCCAATGCCCACAGCCATCATGCTTTGTAGCCATGGGTTTCACATAGCTGACATGTCCACCACCGTTCCTTGCACCCTTGTTGACACAAAGAGCAAACCGTCTATCCCCACTTCAGGACGGTCAAACACCTCGTGTATCTCACGTGAACCACTCACAGTATGTGGCCTTTGGATACCAGAACGGCGGAATGATGACAGAATATTTGGGTAGCATGCAGCATGTATCATGCGGGTGTCTATAATTTTGCCAATCGGAGAACACAACAGCATCCGGATCATGCCTGACTCAACAGGATTGGTGCTTCTTCTTCTCCTGGCGAAGCAAACCCAAAAGAAGCATGATGCTCTGCTGTTTGTCAGTGCCAATTTGCAAGTAAACAACTGAGTTGCACCCCTCCAGCGAGAGAAACTCGCAAAACTTGCACGGACCCCAAAATCGTGGGTGTTTTGGGAGGTTCCTCCATCTTCGGTTCACAAATAGCATCATGTTGCGGTCCAGATAGAGTGCCCACAGTGGACCTGACTGCAGATCGGGCAGCTGGACGCGCAAGTCCTTGAGCATCTCCATTTGCCCCTGTCCACATCGCTCATGACGGGGCAGTTGTGAGGGAAAGTCCGACCAGGTTTGATCTGATAGGCCATCTGTCCACTTGCTCACTTGGTCTATTAGTCTATTATATACAAGTAGTATATAGGGGACCTCTTCTTGGCATGAGTTCCCAGCGCTTGACGCTCAAGACATTGATGATCGTTCATCCCTTTTTGTACATCACATGTTCAGACTTCGCCGAGGCCTCTGATGACATCAAGAAACCAAAGGGTTAAGTCGGCAGACGGTGCAGACGAACAAACTTCACAAACTTCAATGGAGTCCACGTCTTGCACCGGCCCCCCTCTTCTCTTCAGGTTAAATTCACGTTTCTTGGGGACTGTGGAAGGTTGTCTTTTCACTATACATCCCCATGGACCAGCCTCATCATTCAGCAGCTGCGTGCGGAAGCTCTGCAAAGCTTCACCCTTCAGCTCTAAGGCCTTCAAACGCAACAGTTCCATGCCAGCCGATACTTCGGCTTTGAATGCTGCGTAAAGCTGCAAACCAAATATGAACCAACTGCTTGCTCATCCTGGTTATATTTGGTTCGTGGCTGCTGAGCAAATGTGGTTCGTCCATTTCGCAGGGCCTTGTCCAGGAGAGCTTCTGACAAAGGTCGGAGCGCCGTCTCCTACCAGTACCGCAGTGCCGTCTCGAGCCACAGCCCTCCTTGGACACCTCCATCATTGATTCATTGATCCAAAACATTCAAAAGCCAGGAGTGACCAGGGAAGAGGACATCAGTTTGGACCAGAACATTGAGGAGCCTCTATAACGACACATGTGTGGTCGTACTCGCTGCACTTGGTTTGTGCCCCTTTAGGTTTACTCATCTGAAATGAATTACAAAGACTATTACAAAGGTATGATAGCAAAGATTGACCAGCAGCCACATAATATTCAAAAAACTCACATGTCTGTAGTTGAGACAAGTTCTAGGATTTGCGGAAATCTCAAGTTTAAAATGTGCGGAGTTCACCGTCCACTGTTCATGGTTTGATGCAAGTACTCTTCACAAGCGGAAAGTCCTTACCAGCCAGGCCCAAGTCAGCATGTTGCACAGCTGCAGAACCACTGGCCTGAACGAGTCCATCAGGGACTTCGTCAAGGCATGCGTTGGTCATGTTGAAGACTAGTTGCTTTCAAACAAACCCACAAAACATCACAAAACAACCAAGAACACACCGACATCACCCCCGGCCTGAGCTTGTGCCTCCGCTTCCCTCAACTCTCGAAAACTCCTGAGCAACGCACCAAGGCTGCTGTAGATAGCACCTGGAGCACTCTCAGTGCGAGGCTCAGTGCGAGGCTCAGTGCGACACTGGACTCCACGGAGGACAATCGGATCCAAGGGTGACTTACGGAAAAAATGATCGATGTGCATCGCTTCTACATATCGATTCGGTTTTTGCACAAATAAACACATCTTCACGATTCAGCATCCCTCATCAGCGTCCAACCCTCTGTTCTGGCGCATCACGGCGTCCAAACAGACCTCCAGCAGCCTCTGCTGTGAGCTGCTCTTTCCCTTTCGCCAGTGCCTGTGGTGTTTGAGGGACTGACTGAGGAACAGTCCGCTGGAAACTAACCTAAGCCCTGGAAGGTTGGACCCATGCAAGTTTGAGATTCTCTTCACAGGAGACGATCCCCAAGACACGCAGCTTCCCGAGAAAATCGGCTAAGACAAGATATGCTAGAGCCCAGCAGTTGGAGAAAATGCTCGTTCTCACACACACAGAGAAACACAACCCGCGAGGCCCTGTCAGCATCCACAAGAGGCAAGAGATCAAGGCTGTCTAAAGAATATACTACTGATGGTACAAAGGTTGCTCAAGATCGCTACGTCTTCGCAGTGCACCACAGCTCAAAGGTGACACATTTCGCAAGTGACGATACAGAACTCCAAAGAAATCCAAAGAATACATTTTCTTGGGAAGGTTTGTGGTGATTATATTATAGTTACATTTATAGCTGGTCGGGAAACAAAGCGGTCATATTTGCAGGCCAGGGAATTGGTGTTTGACTCCCAAATCCCCAAAACACGCGCACCGTCTCCCATGCATCGAGCGCTAACACGATGACTCTGGCATACTTCAACTCCTGCACGACCGAGCGGCGACGAAAACGACACGAACGTGAAGCAGTCGAACGAAGACGCCACATGGGCTGCGCGGAGGGGGTCATTCACCCCTCCGAAGTCGGAGTCGCTTCCATGCGCACGTCCGTTGGAGTGGACTCTCCGCTCACCGGGTATCAAACCAACTCGTCCCGGCCCATCACCCTCATTAGCCAACTTACTCAGTGAAGTCCATCCCCAAAAAACACATCACCTGGATGGAGAGTTCCTACGGTTTGCCAATGTTTGCCGCCACTTCTCTCGGGCACTCACTTTCAGACAGCCCATACAACATTACAACCAAAACCAACACAACCTATTCAACCTTATAGCAAAAAAAATGAGGAAACATTGTGAAACATGTTTCATGCATCATGGCGTGGGTGCATATTTTAACGGCGAACGCGTCCCGCACGTGGACTCGCGTCAACTCCTCGGCCGGCCAGTCGACCTGCGAGCTGACGGCCTCGCCTCAGTCGCGCTTCCATCGTCTGGAACGAAGCCCTGTGGAAGAGAAGAAGGTGGTGTCATGTGGTGTCTATCCTCAAGTGATTTTCTCTTGCAACTCCGGCGGAGAAGCGAGCCCTAGCAAGCCAACAGAAGTACTCTGCATGGGAGCCGACACTGCCGCAAAGATGCTCACTGCCATACAAGTTGGTAAAGAAATCCAAAAATCAAGCAATTGATGGGATTCCTTCACCAACTGCGACTAAATCATCTATCCACACGGGGTTCTGTGCATCTGGGTCAAAACCAGTGTGCGAACCCATGCGAACCCCTCGAAATGCGAACCGCAGAGGCCAACATTCGGGTCAAAATCAACCCTAGTCCCCAGTCTGGACCTTAGTCAAACCCATTGAATGCTCCAACCAAACACCGCCACCAGGGAAGCTCTCCATGTTGGGTTGCTATCGTTTCTCCCAATCGATTCTGTATAGTAAATGCATGCATCAAAAATCATGAAGGGGATGATTTTGGAGTCTCAGATTTGTTCCACGGTTTTGCACACTAAGATGTACGCCATCGCAGCATCAGCCCGACCTTTGCTTTGACTAGAATGTTGGACGAAATTTACGCGATTTGGTGGGCATCTACTTCCAAAAACCATAAATCCCTCTTGCTCACAAGATAGAAAAAAGTGAAACAGAACATGGGTGTTGTATGGTGTTGTTGGACTCATGTTCGCAGCTTGGAGGTTTTTCGTTGGTTTCTTTTGCAGGACCAAGGGCCGAAGGGATGCCCCCAGCGACGCCGGTCACCCGCCCAGGCACGCTGCAAGAGCTCCGCGTCCTCCGCGGCGTCGAGGAGCCGCTCCACGCCGTCCGCGGCCTCCACAAGGCTCCGGAGGTCCACGGCCGACTGCGCCCCCTTCCTCGGGGCGGTCACGGTGAGGCCCGGAGCGGGGGGGGTTGGTGCGGGGGCAGGGACACCAAGGCCCCTTGTTCTGGGGCTTTTGGAGTGGGAGATGATTCGATCACCAAGAGTTCACCCTAAATGATATCATATGATGTCTAAAGACCTCCCAAAGGCCAAAGACCGAACAGCTGAGGTATGAAATTACATGGTGTGAGCCAAATGCCAGGTCTTTCGGGGGTTGTCCGGGGTCCTCCGGATACTGGAGTTCTCCAGCCCTGAATAGCCAGCGGGCGACACGCTCTGGCCGCAGTGTCCAGCCGGGAGACACTCGAAGCTCTTGTGCCGCGGAGCACACTTTGGAGACCTGCAGCTCCGTCACATTGGAGGGGCCAGCGATGAGCCAGTATGGGTTGGGTCTATCATGGTCTATCCTATTGCCTGTAACAGTGGATGATGATGGTTCAGTTGCAGGCCTTGTCCAAAAATAGTGATAATTGTTTAATGACTCATGACTGCTACAGATAATAGGACAGACCCAAAGTATGGGTGTCAGAAATCAAAAAGAGTGATGATGTTGATTGATGTGTCCGAGAAGGAAAAAAAAGAAGACTTGAACACATCTTCAAAGCATCAACGGGAGCCGGGTTGCACATCCCGTGAGCCCCGCCCCACATGTCCCATAGGTCTCGCCCGTAGTTGGTGCGTCGAACCACGTCACCCCAGGCAGCCTCAGACTCGTGCTTCCGCAACTTCGTGAGAACCTCTCGCTCCTGGTGTTCGGCTCGGCGCACCCTTCTAGTAGGGTGGAGGCCGTCACAAGTAGGTTGGAGGCCATCGCTTCTATAGGTTGGAGGCCATCGCTATTAGGTCCTACCCGAAGGCCCCGAAGGTCCCGAAGGTCCTCGTCGGACAAGGGATCTGCCAGGACGGTGGTGTCCTGAAAGGGTCCGGTGCAAGACTTCGTGGCACTTCCAAGCCCTGGGTCAAAGGGCATGAGTCTCACATAGTCTCACTACCCATACTAGTACCATGAAAGAGTCGGAGAATAGTAGGCTCACTGACTTGAGAGCATGAAGACCCCACCCTGTGGACGAGATGTTCCAGGAAGTACAAGACCTCGCCACCGTCTTACAGTCACATCCCTTATTGACCCTAGAGCCACCGTGAACCACACACCATGTGCAAAGAGCGGTCCAAAGCAGTCTGGCCATCTGCTGCATCACCTTCTGCAACCTCCTCCTTTGCAGAGCCCACGAGGATGATATGTTTTCATCTTTGTTCAGTGGGGCAGTCCTGTAAGGTTCTACCGGTGGGCGACCAAATCCAGCTTGCACATGCAGCATGCATAACACAATCACATCCGAAATCATCCGAACCCATGCATGTCATGCGTCAATGTCGCCTTTGGGCTGGCTCCATGCTGAAATAGTGCAACTTTATTGTGTGAATGCAGCTGCAAAAAGACAAGCGAAACTCAAACTCAAACCATCTCAAACCCCTTCGCCTCTGCTTCATCTGGATCTGCCTGCCAGGAATGCTAGGGTTGAACACAAAACGCAACTAAATGGTGATGGGTCAAAAGCTGAAGCCCTGGTCCACCATTTTGGTGCAGTACTTATGTATTCTCCCTTTTGCGCCAAAAACATGTCCGTCGGGCTCCACATGTTTTTCTGTGAAAATGTTTGTTGAGACAACTCGAGGTCATCTCACTGACGTCTTGAATTGTTGCGGCGATTCGGTGGTGGTCAAAAATATGATAGCATCATTCATATATACCTGGGAAGGTTAACATGGAACCTGAAAATGGACCTTTGAAAGACTACAACCCAGTGGTTTTCAGGTTAAATGTATTTAAGTCTTAATCTTCCCGGGCGTATGATCTTCAATGATCATCATTGGCTATAGTTATTCTACATTATTCTGTTCCATCCATCGGCATCCCTGCAAAGCCAGTCATGATTTCCCGGCTGCCTCTTTCATGGATAACCACTCGCTGTCGACTCGAGAATTGTCGACTCGGACCATCTCCAAGTTGGGATCGTCAACGCTGCTGAACTATTTTGAGGTAGTTCACTAGGAGATGGTCACCAATGAGTTTGGATCGGTCACTATCTAGTTGGAGATGCTTTCTTAAGAGGCCTTGTCAGACATGTTCTTGTGTTCACAAAAAAGCACTGAAGTTCTGCGCTTGCGTTGTCGAAAAAACCAGGTGGGCGGCTTTGCTTCACATGGCACTGCTAAGCCATCGAAACTGCCTTGCTTCACATCACGCCTTTGAACGCCTTGAGCCACAAAACGCTGGCCGTGACGATCGGCTTCGGTTTCGGTTTCGTCCTTGCCGCCCGTGGTCCGCCCGCGACGGTACGCCCCAAAGGAACGGAGCAAGCGCTGTGGCCGTGATGAACTGCACGGTCTTCAGTGAGAAACCGAATGATCTAAGCACCTGCTGCTGCAGTTCTTGCAAGAAAATGAAGGCTTCTGAATACACTTGGCCCACCTCTGGTAAACGCAAACAGAACTTGGCAGCCCTGAATGCAAAGAACTTTGCATTGAAGTGTCATGAATCGTCAACCTTTGGCCGCGGGCAGCGGGCAAGCCTCTTTTCACGGGCAAGCCGCTTGCATAACGTTGGTCTTTCAGCGGGCAGGCCTCTTTGCATAACGTTGGTCATTAAGCTGTAGCGTTGCTTCTCCGGCACAACCATTTTGCAAGCTCGATCTGGAAAAGCGTAGCTTGACCAAGTGAGGTTTATATTAGCACAGCAGCCTGCGTCAATATGAATACAGTAGGTAATATAACAAAACATTACAAATCTATGATCGATGTCAACGAGGTCCAGATTCAATTGCTGCTAGCCAGTTTCATTGACAACAGGTAGGTGCACAGAGTTTACCCATGTTACGTCTACTCAACCAATTACTTACCACACAAGGTGAGACGACTAGGCGACTAGCAGGACCACCTAGCACCACCTCCCCCCGCATGTGGTCTAATCATCTAATCTCAAAGCCCCAATTTGGTGTTGGCCAAACGTCAAGTGTCCACCTCTTCAAGGACTCCAAGTGTCGTTCAGTGGTTTGCTGACGTGTTCCTCAGCAAAACATATGTCGGATCAAGACAAAACACCAAAAGAATCCAAAGAGAACTGCTGAATCGCCAAATCGCCAGAAAGGGCCGAATTGGAATTTGTGGGCCTTCCGGTTACAAGATCTTCCTCTCAAGTCTCCTTTGCAGGCAAGGCGTCGATGACAAACACAGAACTGTTCACTCAAACCCTCGTGTCGAGGGGACCATCTATAAAAAGCACTGGCTCTCTTCAATTCCAATCAGCCGGCCGCGATCAATCAAAATTCCATGTAAACTTCTTGCAACATGGTCGGCAGCGCACCAACTGGCTGCAAGACTGATCAAATCAATCAAAGTTGAATTATTGCGAGCACAACAAATAATTCTACAGGAATCGGCATCTTGGTGTAAGCCTGTAACCATCTTGTAGAGGATATTGATATCCGCTTTATATACCTTCCTCCTTACGAATTCTATGTGTGGTGATCGGATGCACTGTGAACAAGTCTATGTCCAACTCATAGTCGTAATTCTTGTTTTTCAAAAGTTGACTCTGCTTGCCTGTAGAACAGGATGGCTTGTTCCTGTGTTTATGATAGAAAGGAATCCAATGTTGCTCCACCCCAGCCAGGGTGAGGATGACAAAGTGATATTCATGTGGAATCTGACATTGGAATCTGTGACACCCTTACACAAACTCCTCAAACTGCTTGTAATCACTGGCAAAGTTCTCCTACTGTCCTACTGCAACAAATGTGAAAGCTCACTGCGAAGTCAGCCTGCAGCAAACGCAAGATGTGGCCTCCCCTTCTCGTATTGATTCTGATTTCGGGTCTTTGATGGTCTTTGCATGGTCCAGTCCAGCAGTTCAAGGAACTATACCTTGGCTGGTTTTAATCAGCCTAGGCCCATCTCACAGTGATATGATGAAGCTAAGCCAATCGTTCAGTGATCACCACACTTCACGTGACAAAGAGATAGCAACACCTTTGGCAGAGATACACTCCTTGGGTCACCTGGCGTGCCCACTCGTCGACATGGCCAACTCAGTTGTTGTGTGCTGCTTCCACCGATGTGGCCCACAGACTCAATGGGTCGCCAAAAGAATCACAAGAGACGTCCTGCTTAGTCTTTGACTCAAGAGGCGTCATCCTGGCTGTCTGAGGTTGGTATTGCTGCATTACAAGATCTCTGCATACTAATACTAACAATTATTTTTTTCAATATCATTTTGGGATATTCCTTCAATCCACACGCTTCGACTGGATTACCCCGGCGGCCTACCACTTGGCGATGCAGTCGGAGAGGCTCACCTATCTTTCAGCAAGGCCGGCATTATTTTCAAACTGAATGAGCAAAATAACGAGTTGGTGAAATGTTTTTTCAATATTAAGGTTGGCAAGGACATGCAAGGACTCTTAGCATCTAGGGACTCCAGTTGCTGTTGTTTATCGGAATGCGTGACCCAAAATGCCACTCAGCATGAATGTCTCGGAAGCAACCGACCTTGCCCCAGATTGACAACCCTCCAAACCCACAAGCTTCACCGCTTCGACCGCTTCGACGCCGCTTCGACGCGGCGCACCACTGAGAACTGATCTTCGCCCAGGTCGAGGTTCACCTGCCGGATCGTGGAACATCTGAGTACAACCGAGAAGCGTCTGTCTTAAAGACTATATAGATGTTCCCATTACCAAGTCAGGAAAGATATGAGCGACACTGTTTATTGGTTGTGTGGGCCCTGCACACTTCCACTTGGTGAGTGTGTCATCGCTTTCCACGCATTGAACCTTACTTGTGTTAAAAGGTTGTTTTCACAGTGCGGCAGACTTTTTGGACATGGAAGCAGATGGGCATGGCCAGAAGCCCTGGTATGGATTGTTCCACTCTGCCACGACAGTGATCCATGCTGCATGGATCAAGGCTCTGATCCAAACCCTATGGATCGCACGATTTGCTCGTTTGATCCAAGCCTCATCCACAAGTGAACCCTGACACAGTGGACTCAAAGAGATGTGTGTGAATGTATGCGTGTTTTTGTTCGCCTTTGTCATGCCATGTGTCTAGTCTCCCCATGTCACAACGATGCATGGAATGCCCAGGCAATGCAAAACCCTGAGCCAGGAAAGTCAAATTCACAATCAGGTGACACGTTTAATTTACTGGCTTCCGGTAAACCTTCTTGTTGGGCTCATTTGACTCCACCAAACCAATCGCCAAAGTCCGAAGTCAAAAGCGGCTTTGGGAAAGGCTACCAGTACACTAAGCAGAAACGAGGTTCCCTGATGGTCTTAGTGGTTAAAAAGCTGTACTGCAGACTGCAGCTATGAAAACTAAGCGTTCCTATAAACATGATGCTGTCATATGTTATCGTTTTTGGATGAGTGTATTATCGTTTTCCAAGTAAAAAGCAAATTCTGCAAACCCAATGTCGGGTCCTTTACTAAATAGCTTTCCACAAATGAATCAGGTTGCTCATATGCTGATATGTTCTGTTGATTTCAGTATCAGTTTTTCTTTGTGGAGATGGCCACTTGAGCTTGCAAGACACAGGTCCCGGCAACATGAGCTCTTCGTTGCAGTTGGACCAGAGGACAAAACACGCCCACGGCGTCACACGCGGCCGGCGAACCTCATCGCCATAGCGAAAGCGAACCTTGTCGCCCACCTGTGACCGAGAAAGGCTCCACAGCAGGGGAGGACTGACTCACCCAGGCAAATGCAGCAAACTGGTGGACGCGCAGGCCAAAAGAAGGGGATGATGCATCAGGAAACATCGGGAATCCCACTGGCCTGCCATGACCTGGGGTGTAAAATCAAATTTTACATAATTTTACCATACTTTACCCCTCCAAGGCCTTCTTCAAAGGGCTCAAACGACTTCCACCACTTCTCAACCAAGCGAGTTTTCCCTGCGTCTCAACACCTGCACTGGAGCTGGAAGCTCCTCACCTGAGCTCACTCCATGAGGGAGCAGCTTAAGTTCATTCTGACTTAGCCTTGGATGGGTGTGAATGTAGAACACTTAACTACAGCAAACAATTCAGTACTTGCCGCCCTGCCTCTAGGAAACTGCCGTTTACCATGGTAACAATTCTTTAAAGAAGGGCTATGCCTAAGTCACGCCCGCTACAACTCGTGGGTGCAAACAATTCAAGAGCAACGGAGCGATAGTCGAGAAAGGGTATGAGTATGAGCAAGTCACGATTTCAATGACGACTCACACACGTTTCAAAAGGTATATAAGGTATGGTATATATATGGATGGTATATGGTATTCTCCAAAAGTTCTGTTGAGTCTTGAGTCGTGAAAGAATCAACCCACCAGAAGTCCTCAGCTGCTTCGAGCCGTTGAACAGACACCTGACATCGCCTGACCAACCGTCTTTTGCTCGTGTCCTGTGTTCTGCGCGGCCGACCTTCCCGTTCAACAGGAAAAACAGAAAAGTAAAAAAGCAATACAAAAGCAAGCGTCTGCTGCCCCATTGCTTTAATTGTGTGTCTGTTGAAACGTCTTTCGCCACTACAAAGAAGGCGGCGGCGATCTAGCACCGGTTTCGTTGCAAGTTTCCCTTTTCGGATGCTTTCTGGATGAGCCAATCAGGTGATATCATGTCACTCTTTGTCCTGTGTGGTTTGGTGACTATACAAATTAGGAGACAGAAGCTCCGACCTGATATTCTCCAATACCTTCAACCGGAATTGACAACGTTTTGGGTCTCACACAAATTGCGCCACTCGTTCTCAACTGGGTGTGGCCAGAAACCCTGGTATGGATCGTTCCGCGCTGCAGCGAGAGTGATCCAAGCCCTATGGATCAGAGCGCTGTGGATCAAACCGACAAGTCACTTGATCCAAGCCCCCGATATAAACACATCTGCATGGCGGCGCTCCACCCCACCACTTTCTCACCAGTTCACTGTCGAGTTGCATGATGAGGACAGGCTCACCCCGAACAC